GGCAGAAAAAAAGTTTTACATTTTTTCATTTGTTGACATCGAAACAAAGGGAAAAATAAAAAAAAGTGCAGACTCAATCCTTTTGCTCCAGACAGTAAATCAAATGTAAATGTAATGAATTATGTAAGCATTTAATTAGCCATGTAATTACATAATTACATAATTACTGAGACTACGACACCAATTTACCCCCTAAAAAAAACCTACAACACAGATTCGGTGGCATCATTCCAAGTCCTATCACAGCCCAGTTGCTCAGTGTCCAACCCTCCCCCGCCCATGTGCCACATGGTGTCCGGTGAGAGAGTGACGTCGCTTCCCAAGTGATGCTCAAGTCCTCCCTGCCTTTTACCCCCACGCTTGGCTCTACACGTGTGAATTAGCACCCTGTCACACACAGCGCTCTGTCTGCGGCCCACCGCATAGTAGCAGCCCAGCTGGACAAATCCTCCATCCGATTATTCTGCAATCAAACCCCTGGCTCAGCGCCCAAAGCATCAGTTGGTCGAATCTTTGATGGAGATTAACCGCTCTCCGCTACCAACCTGCGCTAGTGCGAGAGGAACCAGCGGAGCAAAAACACAAAGGAATCGAACTGCGGATCAGCGTGGAAAACAAGAAACTCTAACGCGGAGTTGAGTGAATTCTGCAAAGTCACATCACATGGTGAGCAAAGCTGCACTCTTAAAGGTGCAAAACCACCCATAAAACCATTCAGAGAAGGTTTTCAGGGGATCAAATGTGGTTCTTCTATGTTACCGCTCCAAAGAACCCTTTTAGACACCTTCATTATTAAGTGTGTGGGTTTTTAAATCTGTGCAACACTGAGTCACTGTGCAGGTTAGCCGAAAGTTGAAAAGAAACCGGTTCAGATCAAATGATGCGTGCTGGAAAAATCTCAGAATGCTGGTGCCAGAACCCAACCACACATGAAACCTCTCGCTGCTGCGCATCTCCAACATAAGCTTACGGTTGAACTACCATGGACAGACTTGGCGAAACAACGCAGTAAACAAGCGCACAAATATCAGAACTACTAAATATCGTAAATGTGCGCAGTGCATCACAGACAGTGCCCTGTATGAGAAAACCTTAACCTCTTCACGCTCAATAAGTAATCCAGGTACACTGTACCTCTACACAGGGTACAAATGCTGTAACTGCGGTGGGACCCTCAGGGGCATAACATCAGGAGATTAGGAACATAATAATCCCATATTCTAGGGATGCACTGATGCAGGATTTGGGAACCGATGGCAATATCTGATATTTACATGCACATATCTGCTGATGCCGATACATAAACATTTGTAATGTAGAAACTAGGACTAAATCTACCTGGAAGAGCAGTTCAGAGTAATGAAATGTCAATTTCTATAGTTTTATTTCTATTTCAAATGCTGTAAATCACAGATATTTTAGCTCAGTAGCGTCGCCTAAAATATTCTGCTCTTCCAGAGCTCAATGCATCATTAACTACCTGTTTGAAATTTAAACATCTGTCGGATGCCGATATTACTTTTTTAAACAGACATCAGCTGATGCCGATATAATTACCGTATCATTATGCATCCCTAATATTTTATAGGTTCCACTGACTTCATAAGTCCTGTCTTAAATAAAAAAGGTACAAATATATGAATGTAGTGCAGCATAATAAGCTATTTTAAGGATTTTAAGGACCTTGAGGACCTTAAGGATGATGTACGGTGTTACATGGATAGTGGTATAACATGCCTAGGAGCTTCTGAAATAAAAAAAAAATCTCTATTCAAAAAAATCTCTGGAAAAACAGTCTCTAAAACACTTTTATACAGGTTTGTGCAACACATTCTGCTTTTATTATGGCTAATTACCTACATGAATAAGCCTACAGCCTGGCGTATGTTAAGTTCATTCTCTTTGCTTTAATATGTAGCAGCATTATGCCTCTTGTTAATGTTTTCCAGCGGACTCATTTTCGCATTAAATGCATTTGATTTACAATTCATTTAAGAATTAGGCACAGTCCATGGTAAGCAGCACCTGTTGGTGAGAGCAACCCCATCGCTGCATTATATAACTGCATATCCCCAGAAAACACATTTATACTGGATTGTGCTGTTTAAAAAGTTATGAAATTACAAATAAAAAGGTCATAACTTGTACATTAACCCCTAAACTTCAACTCTCATAACCTACATATTAGTTTCCAAGTAGTTAGTTCTAAGATTAATAACTGAATAATAAGCCTGCAGATTTAAGGAGTTAAACAAGGTATAAAACAGGGTTGCTGACCCCGAGTGCTGACCACCAAAAAGAACTCACACCTACCAAAGTGCAGAATCTTTCGGGCGGATTCCCGCAGGTGATATCTGGGGGGTCCACTCTGATCTGCATGTAGTCCTTCATGGGCATGGGTCTGGGCTGGCAGGCGTAAAACTCCCATGTGGGTCCATCGTCTGTGCTGACCAGCGACTTACATATGTCGTACTGGCCAAGAGTCAAGAGGACACAGTGGAGGAAGAGGGACGCCTGTAAGAGCATGGCACTGGGTACGACCGCGGGCATGGAAAGGCAAGCGGTGCCACAGCTGGACAGCGTGCGGGCAATATCAGCATGGACGTTGGGCTCCTCTCATCGTTCGGGATCTTGACCATCCGTTTTCCGCGTTCACCTTCTCCTTTCTGGACGAAGTGGCCGGTGACGGAAACTGAACGTGAAATCACTTAAAAAGTTTTTCTCAGTGTGAACAGATCTTATCAACCTACGGCGACATCGCAGTTGAGGTTCAGGTGAATATCTCCTCGTGTGGACGGCAGCAAAGTCCACAGGTCCTCCTCATGCTGTAGATGTGCGGTGGCTTTGATCATTAGCGGCTTTCATCCTTGATTTTCTGTCTAAGAAATTAGAAAAAAGATGAAACGTGAGGAAGCGTGCAGGCACTACAATTTGCCTTTTTATGTATTGGGTTGCATTAAAGATAGAAGAAACTAAAACGGTGTGTGGTGATATTCCCATGTGGCTCAGCTAAACAGGACGAATCTCAAACGCTTTGCTATCTTTAGATATAAGAGGAAACTCACAGAAATAGGAAAATAATACTCAAGAGCATAGAAATCTGCTCTGACAAATAGCTGACAATTTGACAGGCAAAAGCAAAATAAAAGATAACAAGCTTGTGGGGATTAAAAATGGAGAACAATTCTTCCACTAATTTCTCTCATTATAACTACATTTACTGTGACTATAGTGTACTATAATGAGCATTAATAAGTTCAAAAAATCAAAAAATAAAAGTTCCTCCATATTTTAGTCTTTCCTATGCCTCGTGTACAAATATGAACTTATTCAAACGAAGCTGAAATCAGCTTGTTTTTTTTTATTTTCCCGTTCCACCTTAAATGGTGCAGCAGCTACGTTGTGACGCCGCACATTCTGAGGCGCCAGAATGGAACTGCTGCACCATTTAAGGTGGAACGGGAAAATTCGAAAAAAGAAGCTAGCAAATAAACCAACTTCAGCCTCGTCTTACTTATGCGGTTATCTGAGGAGGGTTTGTAGCCTCAAGCAACTCAAATTCAGAATTTAAAATCAAAGCAACTCATGAAACTTTCACATCCCCGCCGTACTTTACATTCAACTCAATTAGCTATGAAAGAATGCGCCTCGCCTGCTTTTAAACATTTTAAAAAGTGGGCTAATGCGTTTTGCAGCCCGCCCAGACGGCTCTATCAGAAGTTATGAGGCAATAAAAGCAGCAAATGAACTTCACATTAACTTTAACGTTACTTACCCCGAGTCTTGCTCGTCCTGCCACCCCGCCATCTCGCCTCTCATCCACCCCAACTTCGCACAAACCATCGTCCCTCTCCGTCCAGCACTTCAGCCGGGGAGCTCGCGCATGGCTAGGCTAATTTTTTTTTCCCTTCCTCAAACGCTTCGCTACTTTTTTGCTTTCTTTCTCTTTTTTGTTGAAGTTCCAGCCTCGTCCTTCAGTAATGTCTTTCGTTCCGGCTTTCGTTCCTTCAGCTCTCCGTCCTGAATGCTTCACCCATCAGCATCCCACCCATCCCTCGCCGTCCTCCTGTCTTCTCTCCTCCTCCGTGATCTGGATCTTATCTCCCAATCTCTCTCTCTGCTCAGCACCGCTATCTGACGCTCTTACTCGGCAGCCTCGTTTATTAAGTGTCTCGTCTCTTTTGCGGCGCTTTTTCCTATTTGTGTTGTTTTTTTCAGGCTTTTTTTAAGAACTCTGGCTCTTTGCGGTCCCACCGCCTCCAGCCTACCTGGGCTTAGTGATAAAGTTTATGTGCCTGCTTGGAGCATATAAGCGTCCCAGGAGGAGATCAGGCAGCCCGCCCTGCTTAAAGGGGCAGGACGGCGGTCACATGACGGAGGCTGGAGCACCTGGGAGGGAAGGTTCATGAAATATGAACGTAAACTCAAATAAATGCAGTGATATTTGCTCTATGCTGCTTTATGTAAAGACTAAAAGGCTTTAGGCTGTGTCCTGGCCCAGTGGACTGAAAAAATAATTATTTCAATTCATTTTATATTTATTTACAGACATTTATTTTCTTATTAATCAACTGATCAGGTCAAGGATACTAGCATTTTTAGTGGGGGAAAATTTGAAGTGACATAGGGAAAACTCTGCTAACACAGCTGCAGCTTTGGCAATAATTTATTAAAAAAAAATGTATGCGCGAAATTAGCGCTGTTCTCATGTTCGCAGCTGATGCTGGTTCTTAATATTTATATTTATATCACTGCTTATCTACTACTGGGTCTATTACTTCCTGAGTTGAGTGGTTGCTGACATAAACATACGAATACTTAGGCTAAGCACATGACCAGAAACGGATTTTTCATTAGTAATTTAATATTCACGAATTTCCAAATGAAAAAAAAATCACTTAAACCTCTCCGGGCGGCAGCTCATGTTAAAACTACAAATCCCATGGATGCCTCTAAGTATTGACGTCACTTGCGCGCCGGCTCTCACAGTCGGCGAAATCATGGCGGATGTTATGAACGTTGGTGTGAATTTAGAAGCTTTTTCTCAAGCGATTAACGCTATTCAGGCTCTTAGGTCCAGTGTGACCAGAGTTTTCGACTCGCTGAAAGATGGAATGAAGAATAAGGAAACCCTCGAAGGACGAGAAAAGGTGTTTATCACCGAATTTCAGGACAATTTGCAGTCAGTGAACCGCGACTTGACGTGAGTTGACCAGCAGTCAGAGCAACAAAGCGCATCTGGACTAACTGACTAACTAAAGATTCATCTGCTGTCCAGTACACTTACTTTCCTTATTGCATATTTCAATTATCTTACAGATCGGTGTCTTGCTCTAACGCGGAGCAGAGTAGCTAACGCTAATTCACTATTGTATTTACACCGATCAACATTAAAACCACCACCTTGTTTCTGAGCTCATTGTCCATTTTATCAGCTACACTAACCATATTGGTGCACTTTGTAGTTCTACAATTACAGACTGTAGTCCATCTTTTCGTCAGCCCCCTTTCAAACTGTTCCTCAATGGTCAGGACCACTGCAGAGCAGGTACTATTTGGGTGGTGGATCATTCTCAGCACTGCAGTAACACTGACGTGGTGGTGGTGTGTTAGTGTGTGTTGTGGTGGGACGAATGAATCAGACACAGCAGTGCTGCTTAAACGCTTTGTCCACTCATTTGCTAACTCCGTTGCTGGTACACCTTGTAGAAGTAAAGTCAGGGAAAATAGCTCGTCTGTTGCTGCACAGTTTGTGTTAATCATCCTGTAGTCTCAACAGTGGTCACAGGTTGCTGCCCACAGGACGGTGCTGGCTGGATATTTTTGGTTGGTGGACTATTCTCAGTTCAGCAATGACACTGAGGTGTTTAAAAACTCCAACAGCACTGCTGTGTCTGATCCACTCGTACCAGCACAACACACACTAACACGCCACTACCACGTCAGTGTCACTGCAGTGCTGAGAGTGATAGACCACCCAAATGATACCTTCTCTGTGGGAGTTCTATGGGGGTTCTGACAACTGAAGAACAGGCTAAAAGGGGGCTAACAAAGTATGCAGAGAAACAGATGGACTACAGTCTGTAATTGTAGAGCTACAAAGTGCACCTATTTAGTAAGTGGAGCTGATAAAATGGACAATGAATGTAGAAATAAGAAGGTGGTTTTAATGTTATGGCTGATCAGTGATTTCATGCATTTAACATTACATTTCCCATGTAGCCATTTGTAATAGTAACTGAGCTAAACATGTCATGCATGTACTTTTCAGCACATCCTCATTAAATGGCTGGTTTGTATCCCCTTTACAGCAAATGTAGTTGATCAGCCAAAACTCTTTGCCGCCTGAAGTTTGCTTCTTAAGTTTAGCAGTGAACCATTATTTTGAAGCATGTGTAAGATGATTATGATCTATGTGAGGGAAGCGTTTGTAATTTTCTTCTATATTACTTGTGTAGCCATTTATAATAGTTACTTCCAAACGTATCATGTATGCAGTTAATCAGTGCTCATTAAGGAATATGTGTCAGAATATTTTATCTAAATATTATTCACATGTAGGAAGCGTTTCTGGTTATGTAATACGTTAGATTAAATAAAAATTCTCCTCTGTCTTGTTTTCAGTGAGTTGGAGCGACTCAGCAATCTGGTTGGAAGGCCATCAGAGAGCCATCCCTTACACAACAGTGGCCTACTGAGCTTAGATCCGGTGCAAGACAAAACCCCTCTGTACAGCCAGCTTCTCCAGGCTTACAAATGGTCCAACAAGGTAAGAGAAGTGTTCAGTGGTGTAGCATTTTCCATAGGGAGCAGCACACTGAGCTAAAGGTTGATGTTACTGTTTTAGACCTGTGAAATTTGAGTAGTCTTGATAATAACAATGATAATGACATTCATTTGAAGTGATGGAAGTGCAGTAATGAGTGATGTCAGTTATGGCCCACTTTCTAATAAGGATCATTTAAACATGGATATATCACTTTTCCCAATTAATGGAGGCATGAACAAGTGGTTAGTGCAGCTCATCAGTGAATTATCAGACCCTTCGTGAGTGGAATCAGGTGTGTCAGAGCAGAGAGAATTGAACCTTGCATACTCATAAAAATGCGCCCAGTTACAGTCATTCGAGCGATACTGATCAAACGACACCTTTTATTGATTTTCTAAGTAAAAATAAGTTAACACATCCTCTACATAGAGCACACGTCTGCACACATTAATGCACAATTACTCTTTATTTGCTGATTTTAACATATTTGGCAAAAAAACAAAATGTGGCCTGTGCAAAAGTTATCATATTGTATATATTTTTTTTCCAATATGTTAAACTCAGAAAATAAATGTTATTTATTTATGTAGAAGTAAATAGTAGTTATGCACTAAAAATAGCAGAAAATACCATAATAAAGTGTGCCTGTAGAGCAGGCATGTCAATTTGGGGGCCAAAGTGCTGTGAAGGGCAGCGTTTACTCTCTTCTAACACTCTGAATTCACTTCATGAAGTCCCTGCTAATTAGCTAATGAGCTGAATCAGGTCTGTTTACTGAGGCACTGTGCCAGAGTCTGCACTGTTTTGGCCTGCGAGGACTGGAGCCTGACACATGTGCTGTAGAGGATGTGTTAAGTTATTTTCCCTTAGAAAATCAGCCAAATACAGGGGTCTTCAAATTTTGCATATGACTGTATTTACCCTGTCTGAATGTGTAGTGTACAGATGTGAAAGCTGAAAAGCAATTATGCCACCTGTAAAGGACATACACAGTTCTCCCTCCACTTCTGTCACCTATGCTGCAGTTGTGGCTACTAAGTGAAAGGTGCTTGTTTTACTATCTTTTCTTTCTCTGTAACTAAGAAAACGCATGTAATGTTCTGCATCCCGAATGTAAAATGTGTTATTAAGGAAATTGAACATGGCATAGTCTCCACCTGTTCTGCACCAGCACCACACCAGCCTGATTTAGACATTCAGGGAAATGTGATCTGATCCATATTTGAATAAGGAGAGTGTAAACGCACCATGTTTTGATGGGATGATCCAGTTGCTACGATCGGATGATGGTGATTGGATGTCAGTGCCACATGTAAACAAGGCCTTAAAATCCTGGTGTTCTAACACTCCTTCTCTTAATCAAGGAGCCTCTGCATATTAGAGGCAAGTGTGTTGGAATGAAACTCTGAATGGTGGTAGATTGCTAGTACTAGGGATGGGCACCTCTGACGTAAAGGCTTGCATGCGACCACTTTAATTGCCATTGCCTTTACATCGGCAGTATCGTACTCAATATAGACAGTTACCAGAATGAACTGACAGGTGCCATATTACTAGTATGAAAATATCAATATTCACTTTAGTCATATCATTAGTGTTCAGAATGATATTGAATTTTCCCCTTTCACAGTGATGTTTGTGCTGTGAAGCTGTAAGAAATCCAGGATTAAGATCGAGATAATTTTGATCACCAATATAATAAATTCACTTTTTTTAAAAGCAAAGGTAAAAAAAACTGTACAACAAACTGTAAACTTTGTCATGATGATTTAAACGCAAATGTGCCTCACAGCTGCTCATAAAGAAGTTTAAATTGCTTATAAGGGGAATTAGGTTCTGGACAATGCCACTTATATGCTCCACACCACTGAATGAATCACCTCTGAGCACTACTTCAGATTAATTGCAGTGAGTTCTTTTGGAGATATTCACTGTGAGGCAGCTGAATCTTCCGCATAGTGTTTTTTTATGCATAAAAAATTTCCCAGGTAATGGTCATCGAAGTTAAACTGAAGTGTTATGCTTTTAGAGCCGTTTTTTTTTTACCCTTTGGTTTTGTTTTGTATTAAAGGGGCATTCCACAGATTTAAAAAAATTTCTGCATAATTCATTAAAATCATAAAAAATATGATAAATTGCTAAGATCAAACAGCTTTAATGGAAAGGGTGATAGCTAATGTGAGTAATTTTCAAGGGAAATTTAATCATGGTTGGGATAACTTTCTTATGGATATTATAAGTACGCATTAGGGAGAAGTGGAACTGTGACATGGTAGGGGTATTTGGGGATTTTTGCTCTGTTAATTTATTCGATTTTTTTTCCTCCCCTGCGTCTTGTAAAAGGTGTGTTGGGGTAAATACTGACAACATTAAAAGTTACTACATCCAGGAAAAACAAACTAAAAATGATTAAAAATGTAAACAAACTCGTTCAAAATGGTCTGATGTGAAATGCTCCATTCAGGAGAAACTGACTAAAGTCAGAATTGTTCACAGTGGTGGTGATAGGAACCAGACGTCTGAAGGGTTTAATGCCTCTGAAAGCTCCCTCACAGAAAGTTACTGATGCCAGCTAACCCACCCCTTTTTTTAAAAAATGCATTTAGGGTGGAGAGGTACTTGAAGGGTGTTCTAAGGAGAAATAGTCCCCAAAGAAAATGTATTTTATTCAGATTTTCTGGTAATTTCCCATTATTACATATAAAACCTCAGAAGGCTGTATAGGCTCACTGGTGGTTTTAGATAGTGAATAAAATGGCTGTAAACATCACAAGATCTGTTTTTTATCACCACCATTGGATTTCATCACATCCAGCGACTATGAATATCTTTATTTAAATCTCAATCATTGAATTATGCAGAAATTTGAAAAAAAATCTGTGGATTTCCCCTTTAATTAGCTTTATTCATCAGTCAAGTGTTAAGTTTTCCTCAGGTTTGCAGGCTTGTTTTACATATTTTCCTAAATCTTCCTAAGATGGCATGTGTTCCCTTCAGAAATCCATTGGAATAGCTGAGAAATCCAGGAAAATTGTGTTCTAAGTGTTTGGATTAATATTAGGTCCTTGAGACAATCCTCCTGATTGCACGCAGATGGCACCTACCCCAGAGAGCACATACTTGAGACTCAACAGATGTGGACCTTCTTAACGCAGTATCAACATTTTCCCAATATCCATTACAGCCAAGTGCTTGGCCTGCTTTGATCATCAGTACTGTTGTGCTCTGAGTGCCTTTCAACAGGATTTGCTATTCTTGCTGTAAATTTCGCTAAAGGATGGCTGCCTTTTATTCGGCTCGTCTTTGATGTCTTGTGCTCAGGTGGATTCAGAGGCATCGCGATTGATTGCAGAGGCTCGCGAAACAAGCATGTTTGGGAAACTGCAGCTGTTTAACTGACTTTGCTGTTGAGTCTTTAAGCGTATTTTTCCTTGTGTTTTGTACAGTAGTGGGGACGGACGTGCGGCGCATCGGGATGAACCTTTACGTTCTACGTAGATGAAACAGTGCAGGGTGTCACGGCTTGGCTGAGCTGATATGGAATGACTGGGATGAAAGTGTTGGATCAATAGCGGTTGTCAGTTCATTGATCAGTCTGCGCGGCCTGCGCGCTGACAGGTGCGCTTAGCTCTTGTTTAGCTGCTTTCCCATCCACACCCACCGGCTCGCTTGCCTCTTTAACGCTAAAGCAGGCTGACACTTTTTGTTGTATCGTTTCGGGGTTCAGATAAGACGCTGCTCGAGGTTAAAACAGCAGAATAAATACAGACGTACATTCCAGACTTTAGACGTGTATTGAGAACCGGATCACCCACTTAGAGAGGATTTTTCACCCTGCGGTTGTGGTTGACTGCTTTTTAAAAGACATTTCACCTCACGAATGCAGTTGACTTGTCCATGCTTCTTCATAGGTGTGCTCTGCTGGGACGTTGGACAGACTTTACAAAACACCAAAAATCCCACTCAGCCTAATGAGAAATCATAGCGCACTTCGTTTAGAGCTTTTACATAATAATAAGCGATATGGCAAATATATAACATCACAGTACTTTAATACATTTTTGTGATGTGCATCACAGTATTTAGGTTTTGTGAGGTTTTATATGTTGGAGCAGATAAAGTCCCAGTAGTGCTACATTTAAAAGTACTATTTAAAAAAACTCTATAAAAACTATTTAAACTCTATATAAACTATTTAAAAAATAAAATTATTATTGTTAAACTTTTTAACACATTACGCTACACTAAATCCAAACACACAGGACTGTAATGCCCTGTCTGTAACAATTATGTTCATAATATGCTAAGAAAAATGTGTTGTTGTATAATTAATCACCATAACAAATATTGTCAATAGACATTGTGGAATTGATTTGATTTCATATACATTATTCTGTGCAATATGAAAGAGGCCAACGTCTGTACAGGCATTCTGACCTTTACTTGTTGGGCGCTTTTTTTGTTACAAGCTTCTTCACATGTTTGGAATCATTAATATTTTAGTCATGTCTGTGATGATAAACACAGCTGTAGATCATTCCATAATATCAAGAAAGCTGAATAACACAAAGCTATATGAGATAAACTGATAATTAAATTATGCCTTGTGTGTGGATACTGGTGATCAAATCTTGAAGCAGATAACTTGATACTTGATAAATGTGTAATGACTATAATGCAGAAGAATTGAATAATTCATAATTAAATTCAACATGATATAGAGGCGTCTTGATTTGATGCTTTTTTCGATACAGCAGAAATAAGGGGTGTTTAAAAATGTGTTGTCAATATGTTTGTTTCCACTTTCAGTTTGTTAAACTTTCAACATTATAAAAGTACAGTGCTTAAAAGGCCCAAATCATGGAATTATGGACAAATTTAATTATCATTACTTTTTTAAGTAAGGGTTAGTAGTACAACCCCTGTTTTCAACATAGTTGTGACGCTGTGAAAAATGTAAATAAGAACAGAATGCAATGATGTTCCCTGGACAGGTTGCC